AGACGTGTTCCCAAAATGTACTTTGAATATAAATTTTCTTGCAATATAATTTCTAGACATATACATTTTCATTCGTAATAATAATTTCACTATAATTATGTCTTGTCTTGTGATAATTATTCATTTTTGTAATTAAATTTCGGACAATTTGAAATGTAACTAGTATACTAATGAGAATTTTATGTTTTTATATGTATCTATGTTTCAAATATCTCCAGCCACCCAAAAGGGCCCTCAACATTGTATCACCACATGTAGTCATATGTATGTGTAGTAATACAAGCGTATCGATCCCGATAACATTAGATACAGATCGTAACTCACCTCCAGACTTTGTAACAACTTTGAAATTCTAACGGTAATACTCACTTGACCATACACAATCCATCAAGACATACTAGTCTCAGGTGGATAAGAGTATTCATCATCTTTGAAATAAGAAATCAAACTTATGAACAAAAAAACTTTTGAACGGTTTTGAATAAAATTTGATACATAGGTAGATTATATATTAACTTAGCACATAAGATAGCTACGAGAAATAATATTATAAATTTGTATGTGAGTTTGACTGTTTGTTTGGTACCTTATAGCGCCTTAACTGCTTAACCATTTTTTTTTCTGATGGATGAAAATGGAATGGTAACCCCGCCTGCGCTAACGGGATACGCTGGCGGGACACCAGTGAAGGATGATAGATGAGAATGAGAACAGGCCAGTTAGACCATCATGATGAATTCATCAGGAATTAACCATGATAGTTTCCAGGAGGAGCCGCGTGGAGGTCGACCTGGTTGGGTATATTGCTAGCAATGGGATTCTCAGTCTCTATTACTAAAAATCCCTTTCCCCCCCTGCTTGACCAATTACTATGAAATTCGGTAAATACGTATATCACTGGTTGACCACCATTATTTTTCATATTCAATATTCGAGTGTTGGCAGTCCCACGCATACTGGGGGGAAAGGTATTGTCAGTAATGAAGACTGAGAATCCCATTGCTAGCAATATACCTAACCAGGTCGACCTCTTCGCGGTTCTCCCTGGAAACTATCATGGTTAATTCCTGATGAATTCATCATGATGGGCTAACTGGCCTGTTTTCATTCTCATCGATCACCCTTCACTGGTGCCCCGCCAGCGTATTCCGCTAGCGCAGGCGAGGTTACCATTCCATTTTCACACATAAAAAAAAAGTCCCACACATACTAATGGTAGCGGAAGTAAACAGAATAATTCTAATGAAATAACCAGTGATATGAACTTCCGCAAGATAACACGCATTTCAATATAATGCGTACATACTCGTACATATATGTTATGGAGAAGGTTATTGACTACTTTTTATTTCGGTCAGTGAACACATCCCGGTCACGTGAACGAAGTTGCAGGTAAAAGCAAATAAATAAGAAAATACAATGTTGATAGTAAAACTATTTTATATAAATCCATATGTACCTAAGCATTGCTTTGATATATTAAATTTATCATTATAAAATATACAATAAAAATATTAAACAAACGAACAAAATACATTATTTAATATACTTATAACAATAATTCCTATAGCGAACGTGGCACTCAAAAATAATAACTTGCAACTACGAGCGTGGACATAGTAAAACGTACTTGTACTACATACTAACAGACTGCCATTGTTAATGCAAATACGAGACAAAATAATTACACTAGTAAGCGTGTTTTGTAAATGTGTACACGTGACAGATCTAAATGTGTACGAAATTGAAGTTGCAAAAATTGCGAAAATTCACGTTTTTGTTATAATTTCAATTTGGGGACATTCGGAACTTTTTTGGGATTAAATTAGCAATTTTTTTTTCTACCAATTTTTGAACAAAATATTTTTTAACATTCTAGAATATTGTGTTTAAATATGTAACTATTTACAGTGTAAATATATAAAAAATGTTTAACTTTGTGGTTTATTTTCCTGATTTATATTATATTCATGTACATTTTAACTTTAAGCAACTTATATTAATTTAATATTAATACACTTCAAAAATTAAAAATAATAAGAATTTATTTTGTTAACACTCCCACCAAATCAGCTTCAAGCATATATTGTATAAATTAATGTCCTGCTTTTCTATCTCACTCTAACATATATGTTTCCTCTCTTTTACATTACCAATTTATATACTTTATAATGTAAGATTACGAGTATACTCGTATAGGAATAGTACCAAAACAACTGAAGGAATGCAAATAGATACCTAGACAATTAAATGGATGAAGCTAATGAAACGTTAGTCGAAGTTCTATCCAAATAGTTATCTATGCACCAGTTGTACAGCAAGATATTAATTACTAAGTATTATTCAAATGCCAAAAGTGTATTATTATACTCATGTACTTGAAAATAAATTGAAACTTTAAAATGTTAGTTTAGATGCTTATATTATTATGTGGTAAATATAAAAGTGACGATAAGAACTTGTAAACTAGTCTATTTAAATGAAGATTATTTCTTTTCTTTTTTAATTTCTGATAGTTGTATATACATTTATTATATAAGTAGCTAGGTATTATATGTATTTATTTATACTCGTAGTATATGTATCTATGTAATATTTTATTATATATTTTAATATTTTAATATTTCATATTTATATACTTTGTACAAAAGTCGATTGCTTGGGTACCTCTGTCCCATTCGTTCAACGTCACGTTTCAACCGTGCAGCAGTTGTGTTTGCATGGCTGTGTTTCGGTTTGAAGGGTGGGATATGGCGTGAATTTACTGGGTTTCCATGGTACTGCTCATGTTTATAGGCGACAGTTACCACTTTAAATCAGGTGGGCCGTCAGCTTATATGCCATTCTAAGTTGTATAAAAAAAAACTGTATATTTGTTTATATATCGATTAATGTTAATACTAATTCATATTCTAAATATTAATAGCTGTAGCACTTTAGCTGCCCGCTAATGACATGCTTTCTGGCTGTATTGGGTTGACTGGAAGAAATCTTTGTCAGAGATAAGTCCACCCTTGCTCACAACATTTATAAATGCATTAACAATGTAATTTACATGTGCAATAAAGAATATACGAGTATATAGTTTAACTACATGTTGAAATTAAAATTCCTAACTTCATTAAATTTTTCTTTACTTCTAAGTGTTAATACTCTTATCTCCAACTCAAATATCTCAATTAATTGTACGCTAAGGACTGCCACGTAGCCGACATCAAACTTTCCAAGTATCGCCCACATCTTTTCTCCATCCACGACATTACCAATTCATCACTGCGCACTTTGAAAAGCGCCCACTAAGTTCACATATATCTCCCTTCATAGGTCCCTCAAAGAGATCGGACATCATTTTTCTCCGGCGCCATTAGTAGCAATCGGTCAGTCGAGATGGATATGCGGTCCGCACAAACATAAACAAACTAATGGCTGCCATCGAGTGACAAAGAACTTCACATCACGGCCTAAAGCCGGCGAATCAATACAGATCGCTATGGACCGACCGACCCTATCCCTTGTTTGATTTGCCAGCCTCCGATTCGGCCTACGTCATTGCAAGATAGTTATCAAGCATTCATCTTCAGAACTCTGTTCGGGATTCGGCGGGATCGTGTATTTGTGCATAGAAGCACATTGTTCTTAATGCATGTATTCCAACTAATCTTCTCTGTATGTATAATGAATAATTATTGAGTAACCACAACTACCTACGCCTGTTACATTTGCCTGCGCTGTTAATTCATGTGACTAACAAACGCTCAGTGAGTTGTGTGGATCTAGTTAGTGCCACGTGTGAAACAGTGATAATATTTATTCGTATATACAAAAAACTGTGTAGCTAATCCGTAATATGTTAGCTAATATGCAACGGAAGATTGCAAAATTTTTCGGTTATAAAATTTTTCGATATATCTTTAATATTATCGAAGATGCATTGAAAATTTTCAATTCTCATCTCATGGAGAACACATCTATAACACAATGAAAAGCGATCGCCTTTGAAAAACGCTCTCACAATCAATAATCTGAAGCAAATTCGTTTATAGCGGAATAACTTAAATTTTGAGTTTTCACAAAATTGATCCTTTACCCAAACAATCTTTACTTTCGCCTAATTCAACAGTTTTTCTCGGCCCAAAGAGGAAGTATAAATTCAGAATTTCGCCTTGCGTACACTTTCGACCTACTCTTGTTTGCGTTCGGTCCGTTCTAAATTAATATCGAACGTCGGAAATTAAGGACAGCGAAATTATGTTTCAATAATGCTGATATTGGGTACTGGACGCCTCGAACTGATGGTCCAATTTATTTCGGAAGGGTACAGTTTTGCTATTTACATAAAGCAAAACTTTATTAATATAATAGACGATTGTATGCGGTAATGCAACGTTAATTAGAAGGTACTACACAAACTATGTTTCGTGTTCTTCAATTTCTGAAATATCCGGAAGTTGCTGTACCGGTTCTTTGTAAAAGCTATGTCCAATTATATGAATTTGAATACTAGAATTTCATTGCAATTTACCATATTTCAATGTTATAACTATACAATAACTTTTACATATAAATAGGTTGCTTTATAAAAGCAATTTTAATAAATATTTACTATGTAATTGATTATATACTATTTTTGAGCATGACAGTGTATTCTTTAAAATCCATGGTCACCACTTTTTATCATAAAATATATAGGAAAAAAAATTACTCGTATAATTTCTATATTTTCATGAGGACTTGAAACTAAAATACTTTACGGTTTAACTTTTTTACTTTCACTATTTAAAATGTTAAAACTTACAATTTAAGCTCATTGAAAGTATGATGCTCTAAAAGGATAAATAGATAGATAGATAAACTTTTTTATCTATTTATATATCCTTTTAGAGCAATTTACAATTTAGGCTCATTAAAAGTATGATACTCTAAAAGAACTATTCAGATGAGCCATCATCTTGTTTGCTATTTTATGTATCACAAAGGAATGTTTTTTTTTTTTGTTACAGACTGCACAACATCATCATCATCTAATGGCGTTGTAAGCGGTATCACACGAGTCTCAGTAGCGGTGACGGGTCTGGATTCGCGGCCGTCAATATCTGCCAAAAAAGTGAGGCCGAAACCTGCCTCCCCAAACCGACAAGGCCCGCAACAGTGTCAAGTAAGTAATGAAATAATAAAAATAATTCTCGCAAAGAAACAATAAATAAATAAACGAATAATATCAAAACGGCTTAGTTTAGTTTCCTTAATCACAATTACTGCAAACCCATAGAACTTGTATTTTTTCAATGACTCGTCTTCTAGACTGGCAGTATTTAAAAGGAACCTTAGATATCGTACAAGTGGTATTTTCTCATCACCATCAGATCAATTACCAGTTTGTTAGCCATTCTAATTCATAAATAATGATTAACAAAAAACTTCTCATGTTTATACACACTTTTTAATAGGGTAGTCAGAGTTTAGTTGACTGTTATCCGTTAACGATTTATATAAAATTTCTCCTCTACCCAAAGGCTGTCTTGAAGAGATTGCTTTAACAATAAAACCACCTTTTGTACTTCATAAGTGTAATATTTAATATATTATTGTTTAAAGTACTATTTTTGAAATGGTGCAATAAGTGGTAAATAAACAAAATAAAAAATAGACATAAATTTTAAAAACAAAAATAAGATACTCGAAACATTAGTATAACGTGATAGGTACTTCTGCCATTAAATTCTAGTGTTTTATTGAATGAAAAGGGATCGTTCGCACGCCGTTACGTTAACTCCGTAAATATTTACCAATGAGGGTTCCGTAAACAGCCTAATTGGCACTTACTGCGCCCTACACGCAACTAATCACAACTACATACAGCAGGTACATTCGTAATGTGTCCTGTCTATTCTATATGTGTGGTATGTATATACAACGATCAGTAGTAACATCTGAATACATTTGCTTTCACTTACCTAAAAGATTAATGTACATTTATTAACGATATATAATATATTACTACAGTAATTATTAATACTCAATTACTGTATTCAGAACGTTATTTTTATATGTGTAGTAATATTTTTGATGAATAAATGTAATATAAAAGTACCATAATAAGTACTTACAACAAATAAAATCATGAAAATGACTTGAGAAAACATTACGAAAACAGTATTGCTGTGATAAATCTCAGCGGGAAAATTATTGTAATATACGAAGAATCTCATTTATATGTATAATATGTATACGTATAATAATCACATATATGTAGAACCGCAATATATAGATATAGCAAAATCTAAAAATAAGCAATACTGATACTGAAAACAAATTGACTGAAAGAATGAGATGGAGAAAAGGATTTCGATTTAGATCTGACAAATACACGATAAAATCCTCTGATTTTTTTCTATTATTTCAAATATGAAATCTCTCTGATTTATACCCAGACATTTACTACCCAAGAAGTTCCATACCATCCCATATATCCCATCTCATGTATCCCTCTTGACAATTCAGATTTTATTTTATACAGTGTAATTTTCATCGATGAAACTGCGATTATCCTATTTATTAGAGACAATTCGATTCAATTAGTTTTAAAAAGCTCCCATTCGAGGTTTATGCATGAGACTACAGCGTGGGGTTCTTCAAAATGGCGGTAAAGAGGTTTCTTCAGGGTCGGCAACACACGTGTAATAAATAACCCTGGTATTGCAGGCGTTCATAGGCTACGGTAACCGCTTACCACCAGGTAAGCCGAATGCTTGTTTACCACCTCAGTAGTATAAAAAAAAATGTAAATTACTTAATATTTACTATTACTAAGTCAGCAATATATACTCGTATATAGATACAACCCACTTGATTTTCAATCTGTTTTTGGTAACATTTCCCCTTCGGTTCACCATCGCCGACGACTCAACCAATCTCATTTATAAATGTCAATATCACCACAGACCTCACTCTAAATATATACAATAGATATCAGTTTAATGATTTAACTGACATTTCTACATTAACATTCCATTTAACATTTAATACAAATCAATTAATATGACATTTATTTTTCTCTACCTTTGTTATATAATATATTAAAAATAAATACATTATATAAAAATATTTATACAAAGATATAAATATTTTATAGTAAACAAAATGAAAAACACAATAACAATATTAATAAAATACGTATATCAAAGTAAATAACATTTACAGACAAAGGACTAAATACCGGGATTTCTGTTCCACGAAAATCCATTGCAACGACGTAACTTTATTCGAAATATGTACAGAAATTCATTTATTATTTGAATGTGTCTATTGTGTTATATTTGTGTATACATTTGATATGTTGTTTATTATAAGAAGATTTAAAATATTATTTTTAGAGACGTTACTTTTATCCATTACGATTTCATTATAATACTGTGAAATGCACATCACTATTTCAATAGATATTAAGTATTTTGAAAATTAACTGTTTTTAAAATAAAAATTATATAAAAATTAAGAAATTAATGTTTTAAATTTTTTAATTTTAAATAACTTGATTGACTAAAATAAAAAATAAAAATTATACAAAAGGCGGACTTAATGCTAGTAGCTTTCTCTACCAGATATACTTAGTTTATTAAGTAGTAGAAAGTAAAGAGCACGTGGCTTTCTTTCCTATCTGTTTACTAAACAAAAAATATACGAGTATATTATTTATCTATAAATTTCTATAGCAAATTTAAATTAACTTAAATATAATGTATAAATAGGTACCTAAATAAATTCCTTTGATATAATAAGCAACAATAGAATATCACAGAAAAAGAAAATTGCTGGAACTTCACACAATAATAGCTTGTATTACACATACAGCCAATAAAACTATATCGAATGATAGGGGCACGGAGAGTCGTAAAACTGGAGAAAGGTAATACAAATACTAAAAGGCTCTGAGTGTTTCATTTCCGATCTTTTTCGTATCGGGTCACGCGACTATGCGAATTTTGCTATGCCGATGGCAAAATAAATTGCCTATCGAATGCTTACTAAATATTTTCCTTTTTTGGCGCAAACCCAATCGTCGGGGTACATATAGGCGTGTCTGTGCCAGTTTTCCATTAAGGAAAAAATTTGACATCAAATATTTTAGTTTATTTAATGATTTGCAATGTCCAAATAAGATTTCATGCGTGAATATTTTTTCTTATATTTGTATTTATTAGAGGAAACTTATAGCTATAGTAACTTAATAGGTAAAGGAGGGAGTACAATAACAAATTTGATTTCGTGGAATATTTCCACAGATAATTAATATCTTTAAATAAATATGATAACGTTATGTGCCACTATATTTATTTTATACTGTCATGTAACTTATGGTGTGCACACAATTAAAACGGATAAAAAAATACCACCCCAGTTGTTAAATCTGTTAAGAGGTTTTGACACAGATAATAATAACTGTTCTACGTAGATATGAATCATTGATTGTACCATTGATTTCGACGGTCGGTATATTATAGAAAATTTATTACAAAATATATATATAGAACTTTACAGCTAACCTTCCTACAGTATGGGTATGCCATTTTTTTTATGTACTGGCTAGTTTAGAAAGCAATCTCTATGAAATATATAATAACACACAAGTATACGATATGACAGAGGCCCTTTTTAGACATAATTACAGAAAAGTTGAGTATACATACAGAGAAAAATATAATTTCTTTTTTAATAATCGGGTAATATTTTGAAATATACCTTACAAATCGTCTATCACTAACTAGATATAGTCTTTAAGGCTGTAGACAATAATAAAAAGTATTTCAATAATAACAAACAAGAAACGTAAGATGCTAAAAAGCACTTAATATGAGTATGTGGTAGTATTTTCGTGAGGATATTTTATGGACTTTGTCTACGACAATGCGTTTCTTCCTAACGTACGCCATGTAGAGAAGTAATACCCAACGTATATAATATAACCGACCTAAAAATGAAGTAGCGTCCGACCGAAACAGGTTTTACAACCGAAACCGAAACCGAACTTTTGGCCTTGGTCTCAGTTTCAGCCGACAACGAAACCAAAATCGAAACTTACTGAAATATATAAAAAAAATCTCTTCTATACTGAAATCTAATGTATTTTTTTTACACAATTATTTACACAGAGACACAGATAGTTAAAGAGTATATGTAAGATATATATAAAAACATGTTAAAATTATGACTTACTCTTTACCTTAAAAAAAAAACAACTTTTAGTTAGACACACATACAACACAAACACACATACAAAATTTTGGCGCAGCCGAAAGTTTCAGTCAATTTTTGGCCAAAAGCAAAACTAAGGCCGAAAGTAATAAACCAAAATATATATCGCACACTATTGTTTCATAAGAAATGCAACATCTAACGTATTTTAATGAAAACAGGTAATGAATCTTGTTATTACTGATCGAAGTTGCAACCCTATATTTCTATATATAAACATAAGTAACAGAATCGTTAAATACGTACCCTCTTAAAGATGGGATCGGAAACTGTGTTTGTAGGTCAGCCGAATATCAACAAAGGGATAAGGGACATCCCGCAATCGCGCACCCCTTCCTATGCGAAATACTTAATTGCCTTTCTTTGTGCCCCCATAAACGAACTAAATGTGAATGCTACGAAAGCGTATTTTAGGGGGCCGGTTTGTTATTTTGGTATGTGCTAATTAGACGTATTGAGGGGCGTGTTCATTACTCAGGTATGTACTAGTTAGGTAAATTGGTTGATTAGTGACTGTGCTATAAGAATTCTAAATTCCAAATGATTTTCAATAACTTGTAGAAAATTAATAATATCTCACAAAATACAGAGTTTCTTGCATTTTTAAAGATATAAGAAACATTTAATATCCTTTATATACATATTGTTCAAAACGTAATTTGATAGAAGCACATTCATAATATAATATTAAAGAAACGTAGGTTACTAGGTTGAATAAAGAAAATTTATCTAAGAACTAAATTCACCTATGTACCTACTACTTGTATCTGTAACTACTCATACATTTCATTGTAATTCTTTTATCATCATCATCATCATTTCAGCCATTATACGTCCACCGCTGGACATAAGCCTCCCCCATAGACTGCTATAAATAACGGTCCTGAGCCACCTGCATCCACT